AAAATTCAAAAGTGTTTGAAAAAAGATGTCGAATTTCGACAACTGGGCGATACTAGTACAAACAAATACTTATTTCTTGCTTACAATGTTCGTAAAATGAAGGATGTAATTAAGCAGCGTAACAACTTATTCAGAATTTTTATTGTAATAATTTAAATTGCATATTCCATTTTGCGCTTTCCTTTTGCGAATCTTTCTATTGTCCGGCGAAGGGTTGAAAAAATGCCTTCGGAAGTAGCGTTACTAGCTGGAAGTGTGACCAGAATGCGGAGAAGTTTGTTAATCAATGGAAAAGCATATTCGTCGCTTGTACCAAGAACTTCTTCACACACACTTCACACTTTATACTCTCCTTCCAAATTGATACCGTCTTTTTCTAAGAAAGCTGATCAAAGCGTTCTAAAAAGCTGATGAGACTCTGAAGTTGATCACGTTATTAATATTAACTTTAAACAAACGGCCGCTGTGGTGTAGTGGTAAGCAGTGCGCGCTTTCACTCATCAGCACCTGGGTTCAAGCCCTGGCCAAAGCAACATCACAAAAAAAAAAAATAGAAGAAAGGTTTTTTCTTAACAGCGGTCGTCCCTCGGCAGGCAACGGCAAACCTCCGAGTGTATTTCTGCCATGAAAAACAGCTTCTCATAAAAATACAATCGCCGTTCGGAGTCGGTGTAAAACTGTAGGTCCCTCCGCTTTGTGTGACAACATCAAGGCGCACGCCACAAGTCGGAGGAGAAGCTCGGCCAAACACTAATATATGTGTAAGCACCAGTCTATTATTGTTATTATTATTATTAAACAAACGATTTTATAAAATAAAAGATGCAAAATAAGATCTTAGGTCCATAAAAGTCTATTTCTTTTCAAATTACATATGTACACTCATACAGTCATGTAACAATTAATAGGGACACGATATTTTGACCAGTTTCGGCTTTTTTCCATTATTATAAAATTTATATGTGATATCTTCGATTACAGTAGCATAGACATAGGAGTTGAGGCTTAGGAAGTCTGATGTAAAACTTTGCTTCCAACATTTAAGGATCACCCTAATTTACAGTGTGTAGATTGTATGTTACTCATACGCCATGTGCGCATTTTGGTCGTATTACGCATATATAGTATAAGTTGTTATTGGCCAGTATTTAATTCAATTAACAGTCTTTATCAAATCATTTTATATTTTTAATTACATTTTATGCCATAACAAGGCATCTATTTCGAAAGATAAAAGAAATAAAACACATATGTATGTATAAACATAGTAAGAATAGCTGCAGTTAAAAGCTTTACGTATGTAGATGTTTATTTGTGCAATTACTTAGTAGACGAGTGTGCATATAAATAATTTAATTAAATTAAAATCAATATTAGCGCATACACATGCACTACTTGTCACACCAGCAACTCTAAAGAACAGTTGATTTTCGATTACATTTAAACTTAATACAATTTCCGACCTGAAAACAATGATCTTTTTTATATACATACATACATATTTATGTGTATATCAGCTTTGCGAAATAATAATAAAACGGGAAATGGAAATTGTAATATGAGTAAATAGTTAATACATTATCAAATAAAATACTGAAAAAAATTTTAATAGAGTGGAGAGCATAGTTAACAGGCCCGTATTCGAAATAGAACTGCAGTATGTTAGATAGTCAGGCCGGCTTACGAACATCTGGATCTGGACAAATGAACGCTAGAACATGTTCTCTGTGAATGTGTCGCTCTCGGTATATGCAGACTGGCCCCCTTTATTCATGGAGGTGATATGTACACTGCATCAGAGCTGGCTTATACTTAATAATAGCTATAATCAGGGCGCGAATTTTGTGGCATTTGACTTTGTTTTGCCTTTGAAATTAGAATAAAATGAATGAAATATTTATGTGTTTCAAGCCTCCGCGAATTATTAGAGCTACATTTTTTATTGCCTTTATTGCCTTTCTTTATCCTTTTTAGCCGTAATTGTTTTTCTTTGTTTTTACTGGCATTTCTTTGCTTTTTCGATTTTATTGCGCCTTTTAGCGACTAAAGCCTTATTGGTTGTTCTTAATACGGTATTCACATAAGGCAATTTTAGAGGCGATTAGTTAAATCAAAAGTTAGCTGCACCGCAACTTAATTGGAAGCGATTAGTTGATAGAAGAATTTAAGCTTCAAAACAATAATAATAATAATAGATTGGCACTTACACATATGTTAGTGTTTGGCCGAGCTTCTCCTCTGATTTGTGGCGTGCGCCTTGATGTTGTCACACAAAGCGGGAGGACCTACAGTTTTACGCCGACTCCGAATGGCGATTGCATTTGGTTGAGAAGCTGTTTTTCATAGCAGAAATACACTCGGAGGTTTGCCATTGCCTGCCGAGGGATGACCGCTGTTAAGAAAAAACCTTTTTTCTATATTTTTTGCGATGTTGCTTTGACCGGGGTTTGAGCCCAGGCGTAGCGGAGTGGAAGCGCGCACTGCTTACCACTACACCACAGCGGTCCTGTATAGGACAAAAAAAAAATCCGGTATGTAGGAGATATCTTTGAAAACGTATTAACAGTCCGATTTGATTCAAATACTGAAAATTTATTACGCACATAAATAAAAATTTATAATTAAACTAATAGGTGTTGCTGGAGTCAAAAAATTTATACATAGACATAATTTTTCTCAATACTGCTCCAACAGTTGTCGCTGGAGTTAACAACCGTATATTCTATTTTATTTCATGATCCTACTACTGAGATCGTTGAATGTCTGCAAATTTTAAATACGATTAATACAAAAAGCTATTGAAATAGGCTGTTATTCCTTCTTGGCATTTTCTTTGTTTTATTTTTTTGAGACTTTTGACATGACATCAAGTAAAATGTTTCGAAAAATAATCTTCTTGTACATATCAATGCCTTAAAGCACTTACAAAGCTTTTTGAGAGGTTTCTTAAAGTAAATTCATTAAATTTTAGTATAATAAAAAAATTTTTTCGAACGTCCTCTGAAAGATTTCTGAATTGCTGCGGTGCTTTTCTATAATATAGATTTCATACCGTGTGTGGTAGACGAGGTAGATGCTCCAAAAAGTGGTAGATGCAATGCATTTATAATTTCGCAGACCAGATGGGTTTGCAAGAATATTGCCCACATATAATTAGGAATTGCGCAGGGCTTGGGATCGGGGAAAGGTTTGATTATAAAAAGCGGGGAAATGTGATTTTGTATTTCGAAACTGTATGGTGGAAAGTGTGTTCTAATATCTATTTGATACACAAAAAATGATCACGGCTGTACTTTTTGCTGATATATTACATACATATGTTCCATTTAGTTAAACAATATAAGAATATTGTAGTATGTACCACAAAAACGTATATTTTCTATAAAAAAATCATAACTCAGAAAAAAAAATCTTTGCTATTAGAGATTTGGGTTGATTGTAGTTCAAAGTGTCTCTTTCCCGGTAGAAAAGTTTGAGAGAAAAAAAAACACTTTTTGAAAAATTAAATTTAAAAAAAATTTGCACTTTTTGTTTATTGTTAAATAAAAAATTTTAAATAATGAAAATCAGTAATTATATCATTCTATCTTGAAGTGACAAGAATTACTGATATTTGAGTAAAATTATTGTTGGAATCTATTAAATTTTGACAAAGTTATGGGCATTTAAAAAAAAAAATTCTCACTGTCAATTCGAATAATCGATTTTTGCCTCAAAAACAAAATCGCGTTTAATTCGGCCGAAAAATTTTTCCGAGCCAAAAGAAAAAATACGTGTCTCATTATTTGGACCAACAAACAATGTATTTGAGTTTGGTCGAAATTAAAAATCATGCTCGTACCTGACCGGTTGTCTGGAAATGGAAAGCATCTACTATTAAGCATTGCAATATCTGATATGTATTAAGATATTATTTCACACAATTAGTGAGAATTGCATCTTGTAATTTGTAGGGTGTGGCGAAGCCCGCGGGGTAAGCTAGTCATGAAATACTTTCTTAATCACTATTTACTTGATTGCAACAGTCTTTCATGAAGAATCATAATTGTGTATATGTCACCACAAACAGCAGGTTTTTCTATCTTATCACTTGAGCGTAAAATACAATGAACCGATAATAATATATTTACGTCAGTGTATAGGTATAGTGCTTAACATAATTTTACGACACTCTCGAAAACATATAATTTGTTCTTTACCGAACACCACATAAATCCAAGTTAACGTTTTCGTTCAACATTAAAAAAAAATCAACAAACTTTCGTAAAAATTTCGAGATCTTTAACTCGATTTCCTAGAAATATTTTACAGTATCCGGGACTTTCCGCTGATTTCAGGAATTTTTTCTGTCGAAGGTGTTTCTTATTGCTTGTTGCTTTTTTCTATAAGGCCAGTATGCAGCTCTCAAGAAAAGCAAAAACACCACATTAAATGACGTACACGAAATGGCTAAGAAATTCTCTTGTGTGAAATTTTCTTGAGGCAGTACGCAGTTCTTAAGAAATTTGCTACGCTTTCTACTACGGTTTTATACTACGGTTTTCTAAAGTTTTTTTGTGAAAAAGGAGCACGAGGCGACCCATGCTTGCAACAGAAAGAGTGTGGCAACAGGCTGGTGCAGTATCAGATGTCAAAATTCCTTGGACACACACACGAAATAATGACAATTTTTTTCGTGACCGTTTTCTTGAGAGTTGCATACTGGCCTTTAATTAGTATTGCATAAACATTAAAACTTGGGTTTATGCGGTTTTTGATAAAGAATATCTATGTTTTTACAAAAAAATAGCTAAAATAAAAAAAGAACTAACAAAATAAGTAGTCAAATCTTGTCAATATGTAAGTGTCGTATGGTTATGATAAGCACTATATGTATAGTAGTTGTTAGGCGTTATCACGAAATACTTATATCTGTACTATGGCCATTGTGCACAACGTTAACAAAGCTCGATAAGTGCTTTCATATTATAAGTAGCTACTATATTTATTGGCACCTTTAATTCTTTTTCTGTTAGGCGGTTGATGGGGGACAATCCATAGCGCCCACTGTCTGGTGTTGCATATTGTTTGTAGAAGTGGACTGCATTGAACGATGCAGAGGTGACTGACTATTTTTTAGTACATTGGCAATTATTTTTCGAAAATTCTTCACAAATACGAAAAGTGCTAGAACTCAGTACGTTTAAAAATGCATATAAAACATTTTACATCACAACTGCTGGAAAAGTAAAAATAAATAAGTGCAATTATGCCTTTGGATGTGGAACAGGAGAAGGCTAAGCAGCCGCTTGACGAAGTCGATTTCAGCAGCGGGTTCGAGACGCAATACCTGCAGGAATATCGGCCTTCGAAGATTGTGCGACCGGCACCGCCTGACCCGAGCCTTGCTTGGTATCATGATTTTAAATCGGTGGTGATGGTTTGCTTTCTTTTCACGGTGTTGGTGACTGGTTCAGTGCTGCTGATCGGCTCAATTTTCTCCGCCGATCCCATAACTGTGGTGGTACTCTTGGTGGCCTATTTTGCTGTGGCACTTTTATTTATTTGGCTGGAAGTATTCAGTAAACATGTGCGTTGAAGAATAAAACTACGGCAGTTGAGAGTTTGAACAAGAGGTTATAATATAATTAAAAAATTCAAGAAGAAGTGAAACAAGTGTACTGCAATGTAAATAAATTCTCTTTTAATTCTTTCAAATGATATTTAATACAAAATGAATTTTACTGCAAATTAAATTTTTTTTCTTAGAACTAAAGTGACCTGTTGGTATCAAGTATTTACATATCGTTGCCTTAATATAGAAAGGCCCTATCTCACATCGTCGCTGAAATGCACAAAGCCGTAACTAACTAAAATCTTTTATTGCATAAAACGATGTGAGGCCACATAATTCGATCAAATGCATCATAATCAATTAAAACGTAAATTTTCAATTTTTAGTTAGTTACGACTTTTTGTAAATCAGCGACGATGTCAGATAGGGCCTTTCTATATTAAGGCAACGATATATTTGTATGTACATATAAAACATGCCTAAATTTTTGTTTTATTTTCGAAAATGCGTAGCACCGCCAACAAAAAGAGTTATCACAAATCACTGGGATTTTTTATCAACTTCAAGCTTGCAATTTATTGTATTCAAATTGAATGTGCTATAAAACTGCGTACCCATTATTGATGTGTAAACAATTTAGCTCTCGCAATGGGTAAAATTTTCGTTAACCAAGCAGAAGATTTGTAAAGCTTCTTGTGTGTACAAATAAACATTTCTGGACTAGTTCATGGCTATCTCAGGACCATTTCAGATCCTGTTCGGGAACATTTCGGGATTTCGCGGACTTCTTCTTTTTTATTGGCCCGCCAGTCGTTTCTCTACTGTGCTAACTGACGTCAATTGGCAATGGCAAGTGAAGCCAAGTCCTTCTCGACTAGGTCTTTTCAACACAGAGGAGGCCTACCAGTATGGCGACCCGCGTTGAATACTTTCAGAGCTGGAGCGTTTCTGTCCATTCGAACGACATTAAATACGTGACAAAACTCCTAAATACAGTTCGGAAATAAAACCTTCTCAAACTGTGTTTTAATCACGGTTGCCATTTTTGGTAAATTCCGCTTTTTTAGAATTTCGATTGGTAATAGCTAAAATATGGTTCATTATGCTCTGCGTAAAATGTGAAAATGTTTGGTCAATATCCTAGTCTCGCCCAAGTCCATCAAAGTTCAAGTACTAAAAAATTTTATTTCCTTAGCTAACTTCAATTCTCTACAAAAAAAGGTCCATATACCAAATTATCTAGGACTAATACTTTCGAAGATTGTTGCAATTTTAGTAAACAAATGTATTAATTTGTTTATTTATTAATTTTTATTTTTTGAGCATATTGATATATGGAGAGTTTTACTACCTTTATTATATTATATATTAGTATTATCTGTCGCCCGCCGCAATTAGCTATATATTGAGCCTAAAAATATGCACTACATACGCTACAGGGGAAATGGACGACACGCCATTTCTTTAAAATGAATTAAATGCTGCTATATGTATGTATGTATGTACATATTAGGGATCTTGCGAATGTGGAATTTTAGACACCCGCGGATGCGAATGCGGATGCGGGTGTTTAAAAGCTAACATCCGCGGATGCGGATGCGAATGCGGATTTCAAGTAATTTTAAGAAATAATTTAGATAAGTAAATTAGGTGATTTAGGTAAAGTAAAAATGGAAAGGTTAGTAATTTTTAATAATGTTTTTTTAGTACTTGAATTTAAAAATTGAATTATCCTCATTAAACGAATTTGGTAACATATGAAAGAGGACTGAAATAGCTTTGAAACAGAAATAACGAACGAAGCTTACCCCCTCTACTTGTATTTTTTTTTTTATAATGTAATACTAAAGAAATTCATATACCTGACCCAAGGTTTTGTTCTATGGTAATTAATTTAAATTGTTATTGAAATATTTTTCAATAGCTGGTCTTCCTCGTTTAGACATTTCCGTTTTAAAGTTATTTAAATCGATT